GCCCCCAATTGTCTGCCTCTCAGACTTTGCCTTCATTAGCGTTTTGTTTGAATCTTGAATCGGAGTTATGACTTTGACACGCAACTTCATAGTATGGATGGATGCGCGTATCAACATGTTTGCCGGGGGATGTGACGTGTTTTCTTCCTGAGAGCATTATCATATTTTCGTGCATTTTTCCATTTGCTCATTTCGTCTTCTCATACACATCATGCCTAGTTTGTCGTTTCATCAGGGCAGACTGTGTTACGTGCAGGTTGCCAATTGTTTCACTGATATGCTGCAGCGTTGGAAGCAAGTCTCTGGCCTGCAGAGTTGGAAAGAGTCACTGAAAGGACCCCAAGTCGCCATGGCGAGAAGGAGGATAGCGAAGCCGTGGAAGAACTGATCTGATCAGGAACGTCAACATGTTGACGACGCCAAGAGGCGCGGAGAAGATGGCGGCCATCATTGGCCAGCCGCAGCCGCTATATGCCACGCCGAGATGGGCGTGACGCGCCCAAGAACTTCGTCTTGAACTTTAGTGGGGCGCAGGCGGATGGTGGCCTAACTTTCAGCAGGCACAGGTCGGCCTCTCTTTTTTGTCCTCAACCGTTCCTCTTCCCGGCGTTGAGGACGGAGTATCGGTCTGGCAGATCTCCTCGCTCTGACTGCCGCCGGAGCTCGTGAGCACGGCTTGACCCAACGAAAGCTTGCGCCCGAGCGCGCGGGGGCGCCGGAGCACTGGTACGAGGGCGACCCGGCCGCAAGAGAAGAAGACAGGTCAACAGCGCCAGTGGAAGAGGCCCTAGGGCCCCAAAACTAAGGATGACACGAAACTGTGTTTCAGCTGGTCCAGTAGGCAAGGGCCAACCAGTCAGTATCTGCACAAATTCAAGTGCACGTTCGCCGCCGCCAGGAAAGCACCTGTCCATGATCCAGGCTGGAGAACGTGCAGCGCGGCACTGTGTGGCGCAACGCGCCCGGAGGTGGCGTCAAGTTTGTGGACTTTTCGTGCGCGACTACGCGAACGAGGGCCTGGCGAGTCGGTTCACAAGAAGTTTGTGTGGAAGGCTGGACTTGTTGTCCATGCAGCTGCCCGTCCCAAAAGCTGCTGTCCGTCGCCAGGCAAGCCGCAAGTTGCTTGACCCACATTCACAGAGTTCTGCGTGCTTTGCCAGACCCTTGCTTGGTAGAGCCTCTTGTGCAGCTGCAGTTGCTGGGTCAGGAGCCCCCTCGCAGAGTAGGATCCAGGCCTGCGCAGATTCTTGGCTGACGTTGCGCGCCGTTGGACCGGAGACAGCCCAGAGGCCGAATGTGTGTGAAATGCCTGAAGCTGGTTCCGGAGAAATGGACTACGGACGCGCCAAGTCAGGACAGTGGAGAAGGCGCCCCTCAGTTGGCAAGACTTGATCCTTGTTTCAACGTAGATGTGGAAGATGGCCCCATGGCCTTGGAGGCAGAACGCGACACCCAGACAAGATCTCGACATCGCCCCTAGGGGAGAAAGGGTGGGTGCAGCGCGATGGGGAGATCACCTGCGCTTTTGCAGCCCCCGGCTGGCAACATGCCAGCCCAAGCCTAGCGTTCTGCCCTTCATTCACATTGTGAATTACACGATATCGGGCATTCACTCCTCTTTGCTCGCGCCGTATGAGGGTGGCAAAGGCGCCCGATGTGGGGGAGGATCCCATGGCTTTGGAGGCAGAACACGTAGAAACATACATATCTAGAGTTTAGTCAGAAGTTAGTGCTTTCAGCGAGCCAAGCTTGTGTGGGATTGAGCTGCTGAGGCCTCACCTGCCAGAATCCATCGCGCCTTCGCTGCAGTCGATGTCGTCAGGCACGTTTGCGTTGCACAACGTGACGCAAACCTGATGCGATTGCCACTGGTTGAGTGACCTGGCCAGGCGTTCTTCTGCAGCGAAGATTGTCAGCGCAAGGTGTGCCCATTCTTTCAGGTTATTGCAATCAGCAGAGTCCTTGGGAGGCGTGGCCGGTGCACAAACATGAGTGTCGACCCCGCGACGAAGCAAACTTGCAGGCAAAGGCAACTCAGGAGAAGACGCTCGGTTAGGTTGTCTCGTGGAGTATGTGGCATGCCATGGCACGCTTGCCGTGCCAGGACTGCCCAATATGCCTTGAAGCCATGGTCCTCAACCGTAGCACGGCTTCGGCGCCAGTGTCGATACTGGAGACTTTGGCAGGTTACAATTCATGGCATGCTTGCAAAGATGGGCAGTGATGACATGATGTTTTTAATGCCTTGTCATTCTTACATCGAGACGCAAGTGGGGCAGCTACACGGAAACTTTGTTCCGAGGAATGCTTGCATGTCGTGCACACGGCATGCTGGCAGCAGCTCATTGAGGTTGGTCGTTTTCCGTTCCGAGGGAAGCGCTAGGAACCTTTCATTGGTTTTAGTTTGCACATGTTGCACCTAGTATGGCTTTGCACGCGCCGACATGGTCAGTTGTGAGAGTGCAGGCACGAGGAGAGGGCTTGTGCCCTGTATGCCGTGATCCACTGGCCATGAGCCGGTGACGGAAAAGAGCTGTGAGATTGCAGAAAGATGCAACGGAAACATGTTTCGGCATAGACATGCCTTTGTCGCATTTTGCGTTGTATTTTTTCAAGCTCAAGCTTGTTACAACAATTAGCAACCAGATTGCAGCCTGGTACTTGGCATGGATGGCAAAGGCGGTGCTCAGGCCCAAAACCACAACTTTATGAGCCTTCCAAGTGAGTGGCTGTTCTGCTGCAGCAGCGACCACTTGCAGCGCTGTGCAAAAGCTGCTCGCATTGATTCGCGTGCGGGGCCGCCTGCTCCTTCTGAAAGGCCCTTGATCCGACGAGCAAGCAAACGGGAAAGCTCTCCAAGTCGACGTCGCTCCCGTCCTGCGTCTCCAAGAGGCTTTCTAACTCAGGGGCTTTGGACACCAGAGCAGGACTCAAGTCTACAACTGGAGAGGCGATGCCCGAACAAGAATAAATTTGTGGGTGAGGCCAGCGGCTTGGCAAAGCCGATGGCAGCTTGCCATGACAGCGAAGCCCCGCCTTGCATGGACTGGGACACACTTCCTCCTTTACCATCCATCGGAGCGGAAGAAGTGACTGAGAGTTTCGTTCCCGCCCCTTCCATCGAAGCTGAGGAGATTGCTAGCATTGCTCTTCGAATGGAAGCTTTGCATTCAATCAGCGATCTTGTGGAGCCTGATGAGTCTCCAGAGCTTCCTTCAGACGAAGAAAAGAAGGATGAAATATTGGGGAGAACAAGGGTCCTCATGGCTAATGTGAGCGAGTGTAATTCTCGCAGGTCACAGGATACTGCCCGAATTCAATCCTGGTTCGAGTCGTGTGGCTTGGAACATACACTTGTCACAGCTGACCTTCGCCAGCTGGGTGAGTCTGCTCTATCGTTCGCGCAATGCTGCAAAACCGGGGATACTTGTGCCCTGATTCTCACTGGACTTTCCTTGGAAGTACCAGAGGAGGAGCGTGGTGAGGAACCAAGTTCTCAAAGCACACCAATGTTGGCAGACTTTTGGGTGGCTCTTCCTGCAGGCGTGAGAGTTGTGATCATGTCAGACTGCGAGGACGTATTTCCTGGAGAGAATGTGCACCTCGAATGCGATGAGAAGCTGCAGCTTTTGGCGTTCGCGCTGGTGTTTCCTGATGTGGTTCCGGTTCAATCACGATCATCGCTTTTCAAACTGGCCATGCTGCAGGCAGCAGATTCCCTGAGTTTGGCCGATGGGCCATGCAAGTTGACATGTCTGGACTTTTTTGAAGAAATGACAGAACAGGCCGAAGACCTTGCGGCAGAGTGGGGATGTGACAAGCCACTGCGCGTCCTTCAGAGTCTGCCAGATCCCTCTTTGGTTGGCATGCGCTGGCCACTGTCTCGCGCACCCCGTGAGATGGCTCGAGAGGTTGGAGTCAACAACATGGCTGCTACGCAAACGTGGATTCGTACTGGTGCAGTCCCGAAATTTACGGATCTCAACATTCCAGAACTACACCGGCCTCGACCAAGAAGTGAAAGTCCTCCCAGGGAACGTCCAGCAGCGGCTGAGCAACTGGCTGCAGCAGGTGTCAAGGTAGCCTCAGCTGCGTTTGCTGCAACAGCTGCAGCTGTTGTGGAAGCTGGCTCGGCCACAGTCGCTGCTTTAGTTGATGCACAGCATTCCAGAAGCTTGGGTGGTCAGCATGTTCGCAAAACTGTCTCCGCTTGTGAGATGCCAATCTCCAAACAGCTTACAGATACGGCTGTGGAAAATGAGGAGCGAGGGCGGTCCGTTGAAAAGCGCAGGTTGAAGAAAAGCAAAACGTCTCTCGAAAAGGACAGGCGCAGTGCCAGCCTTCGCTCAATGCCTCAGAACTTTGGAAGCCTCGAACTCATGCTGTCAGGCGGTGGGGCGCTCAAGAAGCCAAAGCTCCCCATTGCTAGACAGCCCAAGCAGTGATGCAAGGTGTGCTTCGCAGGGTTTCCGCCAAACCCCACCAGCAGACACTACGAATGAGGTGCGAACGAGTCAGTAGGTGGGACCAGACCTATGCTCATCAGAGTTCGCCAAGATGGCACCTTTAGATGTAGGTGGATCTTGCCAATTTGCCCTGGCAGCTTGCAAAGACACGCTCCAGAGTCCAGAAGCTATAGTTGGATTCCTCGGGCGATCTCTGAATTTGAAGGGCTGCGACCATCAAAACGATGGATGTTGGGGTGGCCTTCAGCTAACGTGCCGGAGTCGCAAACGCGCATCAAGAGTCGAATGCCTTTTGCGAACCGAGTGTGCACATAGTCACATAGCGTTTGTTTGCTGGGCATGTCTCATGCGGAATCTCTGTTACTTCATGCACCTTTCCGCACTGGCACTGCCCGCTGCATGCTGTGAACGGTCAGCTTTGCATACGGCATGTCAGACCGCTCAGTTTTCGAAGGCTTCATTTGTCGGCTCCTGCTGTTCTTTTACTCTGCCAGCTGCCCAAGGCAATGATGACTCAGTAAATCATTTAGCAATCATGAAATTTTGAGAGACACTCCTCACAAGAGCAGAATCATGGGATTCTAGACATCAGTTTTGCATCTTGCTGGCTTGCCAGCGTGTAGTGAGCATGCGTGTCCACCTCAGCTGCACTTGAGACTGTCCCACAGACTCGGCAGACGACTCTGACTCCTGAGGCACCCTCCTCCGGGCCTTCCTGTTTTGCCTGGTGCTGGTCGCCTCCTTTGATGCGTGGAAATGCGAGTTATTCGACTCAGCTTCTTGAACGGTAACCTTTGTGGCTGGTGTGTCTCAGTCCCCTGCGGACGGCTTCGTGCTGGCGGTTGACCTTGGCTCTCAGCAGCGCTCTCAGGAGATCAACAGGTCATAGTGCGTGCTGTGACATTGAGTCAGGTTCTTCAAAGCTGCACTGGTGGCTCCAGGCTCTTGCCATAGGAAATGCACAATCTACAAAATGTAGTCGAGTCTTCTTGTTTGGCCGTGCATGCAGGCAGACCCTTCGAAGTGGTTCACAATACCCACTCCAAGCGCAAAACACCAACCGCAGTGCAGCTGGCATGTGTAGTAAAGGTCATGACATGCGCTTCACACATTTCATGTCACGTGATACTTGAATGCTACGCATGTGCGAACATGCACGTGACTGCAAAGTACTGCAATCAAAGTTGTCAGTGTAGTAGAACCCTTCTAGAACTTATTCTATACCCTGCAGCTCCGTGGGAAGTCTTGAAAATAGGAGTTTTTGCCGCGCCCAGAACACAATTGTCAGTTAACCAGTCCGCGTGGACATTTGACACTTGTGACGGGAAAACTAGGAACAACAACAACATTCGATGCACGATGCGATTCCAATTTGCAATGTTTTTCCCCACCGGCCAGTGAAGGCTTGTAAACAGCCTTCTTTTCTTCATGCTAGTCGTGCTGCAGCATGTTGCAGCCAGGTGTCCTTCCAAGACCATGTGAGGACTTTCGGAGACGATGCTATCAGTAGTGCGGCCAAAAGTGTAGTGAAAACGCCGATGGCCTGTGCCTAAGCCTTGCCCTCGACAGCAGCGGTATTCAAATAACCATTCAGACTGCCCATGCTGACTTTCTTGCTCAGTTCTTCACGCTGCAGCTTGGAAGAAACTTCACCGGTATTGCAGAGGAGCGGTTTGTTGAGTGATCACAGACTCTTTTGAGATCTGAACCTCAGGAGAAATTGAATTGGCTGCCATCCAGGTCGGCTTGGCTGCTTTTATGCTGACTTGTGAGAGCCTTCATGAACCAGGTATTTTCCATACAACTTGGGGCTTAACGACTCTGGCAGCTTGATGTTTCGCATGGGTTCCTTCCTTGGACAGATTTGCGAGCTGCATGCCAGATTTGTGTATCACCAATTGGGTTGGCTGCCGAGGAGCAGAGGATTACACAGTAGAGGAGGTCGTCGGTCTTTCAGCAATGCTTTTTGTGCATCAAGAGACATTGTACAAGAGTTTTTGACAGGCGACTGCGCATCTCCTGAACTTTGCCAAGGAATCTAAAACTCTCTCTCTCTCTCTCTCTCTCTCTCTCTCTCTCTCTCTGGGGCCCTGCATTCCCACGAGCTCCATATGCCTTGTAGCTTTCTCAGGACTTAGCTGAGGTCACGGTGGACGGCACCGCCACGCCCTCAGTTCTGAGCATCGGTACACTTCTGGATCAGCCCATTTCTGCTCAGGCAGTCTCAGAGACGATCCTCACCGTACCCTCAACTGCCACCGCCCCAAATCACAGCAGGAGTTCTTTGTTTTTGACTAAGCAACATTTGGCAGAATATCTATTTTAAGGAATGGTCGTGTCATGCTTGCTGAATTTGATTGCAAAGCTTGGGCAGGTTACTAAGATCTAGCTTGATGTTGCGTCTCATTCCCAAACGAAGAGCCAGCTCTTGCTTCTGATCAAGACAGAAAGGGAGATTGAAGCGGAGCTCATTCAGAGCAAGACGTTGACGATGATTCAAAGGAGGGAAGGACACAACCAAAGGAAGGAAAAGAGCAGGGGCTTGAAAAGGGAAGCTGGGGTCATTCACACATCCATTGTTGTTTCCTTGCTTCTTTGGTTCCTTGCAAAAGGTGCTAGTGATACACATGGGGTGTTGGTGAAGCCGGGATGCAAATGCAGGCCAAACGAGACAGGTGGTGCGTGCGGCCTTAGCACGGATAGATCCCAGGCGCGTACATGCATCCTACATATGCAACATGTGCCCTTCTCGAGAAGGGTGAGACGGGGTTCCTGAAACACAACATGTAAACTCAACTTCCAAGCGAATATCAGACCCATATCCAGAAGGTGCAAGCACGAGTCAGAGTCGAAACTAGTGAGAAATCCTACGTTTGACTTTGGCAAATTCCTGGCCCTCAGCGCCAAAGAAGGTTGTGGAATCTTCATCGAGGATCTTCTGTTAGCTTCTATCCTCACCAGGTGTTTGTTTGGAGCAATCCCGATCATGCTTTCTGGACAGATGGGACCAGAAGAAGATGCATGTGGCGTCTGATTGGTGAATCAAATTTGAGGCTACTATGCTCCAGCGTCGAGCAATTCTCCACGCGGCTAGGATTGCCGGGAGCAGCCCTCAGAGAAAGAAACAGCAATTCGACACGCATCACAATTAGGATGGTATGGGGGCCCAGCTTTCCATTCTTTTCTTGATCTGTCAGTGATTGTCTAAGGCTGCCTAAGCCACAGCTTATCCATGAAACATCAGCTGCAGCTCTTCATCGAGCTTTGGATCTTTCTCTTGGAGGTCAGTGTCAGATTTTGTTGTTTGAGCCATGTGCCGAACCTGACAGCCAGCACTGTCTCAGGTGCAGGAACTCCGGGTACTAACACCTCTGACGCAGTGGAACCCAATAGGCTGGTGGCTTGTGTGCTCAGCTGCAAGACACCTCCAAGATGATGACAGGTCCAACACATTGTTCTTCAACATGGGTAGCCATCATGTTGAGGCGCTTGTATGTTGCGCACGCAACCGCAGCTTTGCTTGGCGCCGTTTGGCAGTATGTTTGTCAGGCTTGTGTTGTCCGTTATGCAGGCGTTGGCTTCTGAGCACATGAGCAGGTTTTACAGCCGGCATGCACACATCACTCTTGCATGTCCAAGGCCACTTACCAAAACAAGGACACAGTTGCGGTCAATGCGTGCCACCAAGTCAGTGATGCTTAGTCGACCACAGCTTGTGGACGAAGGGGCCATGCTTCGCGACAAAGGCTGTGAACAATACGATATGACATATCTTAGGTCATCGGTTGCGGGATCAGCAACGAGCTGGGAGGACATCAAGCAGCACGCTTAGTAGCTATGGTTGAGCCAAGTGGAATCTCAAAGCTGTCCATTTGCTTCCTTGTAGTTGTCCATGCTTTCCTACTGCGATCCAATACCAGCTGGCTCTCCAACTGCTTTCCATGTAATCCTATGTGCCACAATCTCCATCCCACTGGCTTTCCTTTTATTTGCTTGTGTGTGCCTTTAAACCCATTTGATATGAATTTGATTTTCTGTTTCTTTTCCTGCCTCCCTGCTTTGTCGAGTCTTTTGGGCAGACAGGCCATACCAAGAAACATATTTGGGGCCCTCTCGAAAACTGTTACTGGTTACTCTTTTATTTGGGCCCAACTATGCTACCGCTTTCTGGTTGATGTTTGTGTTTTAGTCTAGATCGTTTCACTTGACACTTGTGATTGCCTTTTCCCAGTTTTGGAAAGCTTGCTAATGTCATGTGTTTCGTTCTGTTTACCTGTGTTGTTGCCGCTGTATTAATTTTTGAAGATAGACCCACTCCACACCAACGATCATTGCACAATTTCTCTCTGTCGGAAACAAAGAGCTTTATATAAGGGGTATTTGTTGATGAATGCAGGCAGGGTTGATCAGTGCAGGCAGGCAGAAAAGGCATGTTTGAGGAGCAACTATTATCGCAGACTGACATTGGCACGGGCCTGCATGGTGGGACGCCAATCAGCACCCATCAAGGTCGACCTCATCATTGCTGACAAGATGCTAGACTCCTTCAAGGCAGAGAGATACTGCGCCAGGTTGTTGAGTCACGCCAGTAACGATCAACACTCGCCGTTTTGTCATGTAGCAAAGTGGACACCATTGAAAACACCGTCACCAAACTAGTGTGAAGACATCAGGTTAATATCGAAATCCAGTGCGACACAATCAATTGTGATCGTGGCTCATGTGCATGTGTTCACTGTGCTGCCAGGCAAAGCACCCAAAGTTGAACGATGTGGACAAGTCCGTTTTTGCCTTTTCACCTTGCTCCTCTGTGCGCCGTCTTAGATTTAAGAGTAAGGTCAGGGCCATGAAGAAGCTTGAGAAGCAGGCTGTTGCGTTGAAGCATGTGCTCAGTCCCTTCCTCAGGGGTGTAGCTGCCAAGGCTCTTGCCGCTGCTTTAGTGGTATATTGCAGCATAAACTTCTATCATGTTTGGCAAGCCTGGCATTTTACGGGGCTTACCCGAACCTGAAGCACTTCCTTTCACAATATCTTGGCAACGCCTCTTAACAATTTTCTCTAGCACCCATGTCAAGGTGATGACCAAGCTATTTGGATGGTCCTGAGCCGGACAACAGTCTCAATCCTTGTTTGTGTAGGGTTCCGCTGCATCTGACTCGTGGCTGCTACAATGCCATTAGCAATTAGACACATTGATGAGACAAACAGCTATGATAGCATGCATGTATCGCTGCAGCGCTAATACAAACAATGGGCTAGCTTCACACAGATTCATGCCGTGCCGTGTGCATAGATGCTTGTTCTGCCTTTGGGTCTTATGGAGTTCGTTTGCTTTTTGGCAAAGAACCTGGCAAATGAAAGGCAGCTTTAACAAAGCCGACTGTCATGAGGGATACCGCAGCTGGAAACTTGGGCGTGCTTCGCAGGCATTGGTTGTATCCGCTCACTTGGTGGTGTATGGTTAGTGTACACTGTACAGTTTAGGGAGGCAGCACCTTTGCTGCAAATTATCGTATTCGCGTATGAACTAGAAACACATCCATTGCCTCTTGCATTCCGCATTTCTTTTGGTGCCTTCGACTACAAAGGTGCGAACAAGGAGGGCCAGTTCAGAGTGGAGTCCTTGTATGAAGACACGGACTTTGCGCAGCAGGTGCTTCATCTTGCTTTACGCGCTGTTTGGACAAATGCTGAAATAGGAATGTGCAGGTCACACGAGATCAGTTTGAGAGCTGGACCGCAGACCTGTTTTCCAGATTCCGGGCTCCCATCGAGGCGGACAGTGTTTGCCGGTTAGATTGGATTGCAAGTGGCCAAGGATGCTTTGAGCATCTCAAATACCAGCCTCAGTGACCTGGAAGCTGTGTGTTTCTGAGTTCAAACGCCATTGCACAATCGTCATTTCATGTGAGCAACGTTGGCGAATGTGCATCTCAGGTTGAGATGATAGGTGGTGGATGGCGTATTCCAAGGATACAAGCGTTGCTGGCAGAATACCTGAAGGCAGACGTTGCACATCTGGCATGCCTACATCCAACAAGTTGTGTAAATGTCATGGCGAAGCTAAGCTGAAGGGCATTTGCAGATTGTGGTGCAGTTTCCGTTTCATTCCGTGGCTGCTGTGCCTTGCCCGCTATGAGAGCTGGAACACGTCAGCCCCCGCTTAAAAGCAGTGAATTCATTTTATGGAGAGACGGGTTGGGCTGCAGGAAATGCGCCCTCCAAGCGCAGAAGTCTTGAATCTTAGCGTGGACCTTAAGCCTTGTGCTACTGTGTGCAACTGCTAGAGTCTCTGAGCGGAGAATGTAATGATTTGAAGGTCAGCACGTGAATGGCGATGAGGCTCTCTTGGCCCGGTGAGAGCGCTGCATCTCTACTTTTTCAGAGTAGTCAAGTAGCCAATGAGCCAATGATCTTCACATTGTCCGTTGTACATTCAGGCGTTCTCAGAAAGCAAGCTTTTTGAACGCAGAAAGTGCGCATTTTCCTTACTGACCTGAAGGCTATGGCCACCGGAGCGGCCTGGTATGGTGTGAACTCATCTGTCAGTTTCAGAGCCAAGAAGCCCCCCGGCAGCATGTCACCAGCTGCCAGAAGCAATTGTGATATGCTGATCAACCAAAGCCAACTGTTTCGACAGATATTCTAATCATTGGTACATTGCAAGAATTGATAGCCAAGACCCACAAGAGCCTGTCACTAAGGATATATTTCACTGACATCACGCCCTGGCCTTAATGCTTGAAGAACACAACCTGTATCCTTGCTGCCCGAGGCCTCATCGATATGATTTGGTGATCACGCTCCTTGCTTGCAATGACTTCCGCTGTCCACACAATTTGAATACTTCTGAAGTGCAGAATTGCTTTCCCGTAGTGATGCGCAAGCTGGCGGACCTCACCAGCCATTGGTTCTTTCTTGCACAACTCGACGTAAAGTACTGCTTTGGTATGACACCTCGCAATGCCGCTGCGATCACACCATTTCGTAAGTTTGCGCTTCACCATTGTCTCGTGCCCATGAGATGGACACTATTTTGAGCTAGTCGATGCAAAATAATAGAGCCTTCAAGGCCCTTGAATGCTTCGCAGCTGCACGAAGATGGCAATGTGGCTGCAACATAATGCTGGGCTGGTTCGCTTTTGGCGATTGCCGGTCATGAATTTCACAGCATTGATTCAGGATGGATAAAAGGCGTTGAGCTTTTTCCAGCCTTTGAACGTCTGGCATGATTGCACATGCCAAAGTGATGCGCACGCTCTTGACGCGCTTTGCCAGGGGAGTCTTCGAGCCAAGAAAACTGTGAAGATGAATGTCTCCTTTGACCTGAAGGTTGAACGAAAAGAGCTTTGCTACTTTCAGAGTCAGGGTCGTGCAGTGAAGGTTACCTTGTTGGAGAACGGCAACCCACAAAGTCATTGGGAGCCAGGCACCCAGGACTTGTCTGCAACGACCAATCGAGAGAGGTGCGTCACGCTTGCGAGGTTTACAGGCATCCATGCAGCTACATCGCAGCCACAGCCTGATTTGGGTGTATTCTGCCAGATTTGAATTGCCACTTTACTAGACTCAAACCTTGGAATGTGCAAGGTTCGGAACCTCAAGAGTTCGCACTTTCGCAGTCGCAAGGTATGCAGAACTGAAGAAGCCGCTAGTTTCACTGAAGCGCACCTCTCAGAGCCTCGGTTGGTTAGTCAATCAATCCACAAATCATGTACTGGCTCAGATTTGACTTGGACGGAAGCGGGGTCGCTGCCTTGAATTTATACTTGAATTGTTTTAGAAGATCATGCGACAATATCGTAAGGTTGTCTTGGTGTCCAGCGCCACAGCAATCTTTGACCAGCGGCGGACCATGTCGCCTCAGGTGCGTGCACAGCTGGTTGCAATGCTCACCCCAGGCCAGTCACGCTGAGCAAGGATGACAAGGCTATGCAGCCGCACTAAGTCAGCACCGATATGCATATACTGGCTGAGTGCCTGTGAATGCTTCCGAGCGCAGCAGGAGTCCAAGTTGGCAGAGACCAAGAATGAATCACAGGACCCAAAAAAGGAATCTTATGGATGCATGTGAGTTCTCTGAAAGGAAACTACAGTGATGCTTATCAACTGCATTCCTGCTTTATACACCTCATATTGGACATGTGACAGTGCTAGACAGACGAACGATCAACGATTCGAACAGGGTGGTCTCAGGCTGTTTCCAGGCTGTGTCCAGGCTGTGTGGCAAAGCCTTCTTGCGATGGCAGCACCTGCCAGCTTGCATCGCTTTTGGGTGATTCGCAGTGGCGCTATGTGCTGCCAACATTTGTCACGAGGTGAAATGGGAGGTGTTGGATTGGACATTGTCCTTTCTCTCGGGTCAGGAGAGCTGCTAAGCCTATGTGGACAGTGCTGCCACACTAGGATGTCACACTGTTTTACCGTTATGTTACCATATCGTGGGTGCGGGTGGCGGGCTTAACGAGGGCGTAGCACTGCACACCTTGATACTTTCTCTAAGATAGAAGGGCGGCGGCATGTTGAGCTCCAACTCCAGTTGCCCCAATGAAGCTTGCAGAGGGGCCGACTGACGGGAGATACCGCGGTAGGCCGGCCGCCCCGGTCGCTCCATCCACCCCCTCCCTCCATCCACTCCATCCACTCCATCCACTCCATCCACTCCATCCACTCCATCCACTCCATCCACTCCATCCATCCACTCCATCCACTCCATCCACTGCATCCACTCCATCCACTCCATCCACTCCATCCACTCCATCCACTCCATCCACTCCATCCACTCCATCCACTCCATCCACTCCATCCACTCCATCCACTCCATCCACTCCATCCACTCCATCCACTCCATCCACTCCATCCACTCCATCCACATTCCTCCATGCCGCCATCCTCCATCCCTCCATCCCATCCATCCATGCATCCATGCATCCATGCATCCATGCATCCATGCATCCATGCATCCATGCATCCATGCATCCCTGCATCCCTGCATCCCTGCATCCCTCCATCCCTCCATCCCTCCATCCCTCCATCCCTCCATCCCTCCATCCCTCCATCCCTCCATCCCTCCATCCCTCCATCCCTCTATCCCTCCATCCCTACATCCCTCCATCCCTCCATCCCTCCATCCGTCCGTCCGTCCGTCCATCCATCCATCCACGATGCGAAAGCCACTGTGTGACTATGTCAATGACATGCTGGTCTTGGCGGCAGGACGGCGAGACATCAAATCAGGCAAGCGCCACAAGTTCAGTCTTGTGCAGTGATGCTTCGTTGTAATTCCAAGGATGACGGTGAGGGAAAGGATACCGACAACAGCACAGAGGAGTGATCATTTCACAATGTGGTCAGCATTCAGCCATGAGCACGAGGGATGAAGCTCAGAACAGAGCAGCACACAACAAAGCATGAAGGACAGGCAGCACAAGGATGGTCCCAATATAGCCGGCCTATAGCTGAAGCATCAAGTAGTGATCGTGATTGGTCTGTGGCTTTCTGGCTCTAGCGTGGCGCTGTGACAGTGTGTCTTTGCAGGCAAAGGCTGTTTGGAACTCAGATGCAAGGCAGCCTGCAATGTAATCTCCATCGTGTCGTCAGGCTCCTTGCGATGGCCGGTGGCAGCTTGCCTAGGCGCCTGTCGCACAGCTCCACAGCAACCGAGTGGGTAGACGACGCAGCTACTGATGTGGCTTGGCAACTGGCGCACATCAGAATCTATCTTAGAGGCCCGCCATTGCGGGTGTCCTACATATCCTTCAGAATCTCCGTTTTGTCCCTTGTGCAGAACGATACTGTAAACGTTGGCAAAATAGTTATTTGAGCAGGAATGCACTCTGTTTGCACACCACTCTCCTGCCCTCGGCTCAAACTAGCTCGGACCTACTGTAATCAGTTTGGCTTGCTGTTTGCCAAGCTGAGGTTTGCATGAACTGCCATGCTCGCTTTGGAGTCGTGCAGATGCGCCGGAAGCATCACTGTCGCAAGTGCGGCAAGGCGCCATAATTTTGAATCCTGGCTTGTTGCGCTTTGTCCATTAGACGCAGCAATTTTGCTGGACACATCCCACAATAATGAGTTTCAATGGCAGCCTTCTTTTTTGGCCATCGTGTTCAGTCTCATGGCGCTTCGCAGACACTTGCTCAGTGCGTACGATCAATGCTGTTCTTCACAAGGGGCGATCAGGTCATATGCAGCGCTTGCTCGCGTTCCCGGGAAGTTGTGCCCGAGTACCATCCAGTGAAGCCCCAGCGGGTGTGCTCCCGAGATTGGTGGACCCGGTGGAAACTGAAAGCCAATCGAGAAAAGATAAATATTGTGGGAGTGGGGCATGTGCTTGTAGATACTGTTCTGGTACAAGGTATGCACCAGCTGCATCGATTCTCCCACGTTGCCTCTAGCTGAAAGTCCAGAAGAGGCATCTGGGTTTGGGCAGATGCAGCTGTGATCTATTCTCTCTCACAGGCTGCAGTAGCAGCAATGGAAGCTGCAAAAACGGGGAAGCGGGTGAAGCCTTTGGGCTGGCTTCTCAGTCCCGCAGCTTCCCTTCACAGAGTGCCGTTTGCAAGCGAGGCGCAAGCTCTTTGGGTAGCATCCCGGTGCCTTCGGGAGACGACCCACAACGAGAGTTTGCAACCCTGGAGGCATGCGCAGAGCTCCTTTTTTCGTGTCGCTTTCCTGACATTTCAAGGTGCGCGTCATAGAAGCAAAAGGCCTGTTGGCAGCTGATTTCAACTTGGTCACAAAGAAGAGCTTGGGCCTTGGAGTGCTTGGACTGCTTGGACTGCTTGGACTGCTTGGACTGCTTGGACTGCTTGGACTGCTTGGACTGCTTGGATGCGCACATCAAGTTGCCCAAACCCTTGAAGCCACCAGGTTCGGATCCATACTGCCTCCTACATGTCGGGCATGGGGTGCAGGCACGTGGCATTGGTCGAGTCCGAAGGGTCGAAGGGTAGACGAACGCATCCTATGAGGGTCCTACGAGTCCAGGTGCAGACTCGCACGGTGAGTGCCACGCTCGAGCCTCGCACTGCCCTCAGATGTGTAGCTGCCTGCATGCTTGAGCCAAGCTTGAGATCTGAAATTCAATGCGGCAGCCGCCTTGTAGTACTTGTAGTGCTTTGTTTCCTTGCGGGTACTTTCACAGCGCAGCATTGCTGCGCTTGGCTATGACTCACTTGCAAATTGGCAGGCTGGGACACAACCATTGCGTTTCGCATCAGCAGAGCAGATGCAATCCTGCACCTTCAGGCTGGACAAATGCCAGGGCATTTTTTTTCCGGCATTTGACATGAGATCGCATTGCCTAAATTGCAGTGCATGAGATGCATTTGAGGTCTGGGATGAGGACTGCCTTTGTATCAATCGCCTAATGGCTGTGCGAGGCAAGAGACCATCCGAACCCCTCCCTCAGGACACAGCAACAAAGGATGATGCCATCGGTTTCGTAGACCTGCCTTTGTCCAGGGTGTGGAGCCCAGACATCTCACTGATTGAAGGATTGCATTGTGATGTTTTGGAGCAAGGTGCCGGTGTCTGGGGAACCACTGCGTGGATGGGCCACTTGTGCGCAGAGTTTCCAAGTACGTACTCAGTACGCAGAGTGCACAGAGAGCGGTGCGAACGCTGCCTTCCTCCCTTTCTCAGGTGCCCCTGAATCTACCAGAGGCACAGTTGCCAGCAGAAAGGGATGGAGCATTAGGCTCCCAGTGAATCTGTGTGACACTAGGCTCAGCCCCTGCCTGGAGAATATTTTACGCCAACCAAGGGTGCAGGAGCAGTGCTGTTGGAGGCGAAGCGCACCTCGCATGCCACAAGAATCAGATCAGTCGCGTCACTGACTTAGTGATGCTCTTGGCCAGGTGCAACTGCTGGATGTGCAGTCCAGGACACATCTTTACGCCTGCGTGTCTCCGCTGCCACCTGTCCCCTTACCGCTTGGGACTCATGTGCTACTCGCAAAGACTTAAAGACACTCTCACCATGTGAGACATTGACTTGCAAGGCCACCTCACTTTGATATTGACGCGGTGTATGGACCTGCAATGCACTTGGTCGATCTCATTTGGAGTCCTGCTTGATGATAGGCACTTTGTGCGTGAGCGCATTAGTATTCTTGAGACTGGATGTACTACATTTTTTGCCGCACTCATGAGGACCCGCTTCGTGTCTCCAATTCTCTTCTGGCTTCTAGGACTGAGTTGCCGAGCCTTTGCCATGCAGGAACAAATGAACAGTTCCTTTGGTCCAATCTCCTCGATTTGTTCCTGACAGATTTGATTTTTTGGACGAGCCCAAAGCGCTCCTTGATTGCACTCTTCCTGTGGAACTTTGGAGCCAGATACTTTGTTCAGAAGCTTGTCTGCACACATTTGCAATGATGAATGCAAGGGAGACTGGAGAAGTCATGTGGGTCTGCAGTGCACACCAAGGCATTATCCAGCATTCCTGCCACTGGGACTGGCTTGTTTCATGCTTTCTTTTCGAGCACAGAAAGACGAAAGCGAGGCCTGGTGCGGATTCAAATTTACTAGCCTGTTACACGCCACTATTTTTGCCAGGCACAGTTTGCAAGCATTGGCCTCCACCATTGGCAGGTGGTTAGTGATGCAACTCGTCGTCCCACCTTGCTTCGCAAGCAGACAGCACCTGCCATCCTTGAAGATGCACCTGTGTCCTGGCTGCACTTGAACTCTCATCACCCAGCACAACAAAACTGCAGTAGCGGGAGAAGGATAATGTGCGACTGGAAATCACGCAAAGCAATCTAAAGTGACAGAACACATGCCAGTCATTTGTGCACCGGCCACCATGCTTGGCTCGGCATGTCCGCAAGCTGCGCTTTTTGTGAGCAACGGTCAATATTTGCTATCACGTACCATAGTACTGAGGATGATATAGCGCACTCAAAGCATATCAGGAGAAAGTCCGTGTTGCTCATCAACATCTTGTGTCATTGAGGGACATCATGAATATTGACCGTGGCTCAATAAACGCCATAAAAATAATAATAATAATAAAAAAAAAAAAAAAAAAAAACCAAAAAACAAACAAAAAAAACACAACAATTACAGATCCCTTTGTTGCCATGCTTGCTACATTTTGACACAAAAGGCTGTAAGCTTTTGCATCGCAGGTTGAGTCCGAGAGTGCTCCAGCGTTGACTCGCCAGGCTGCACTCATTGTAAAACTTTCTTGTTTTTCTAAAGCTTCTCTGTTCAGGATAGCCACGCGGACTACGATGAGGCTCAGCTCGGCAGCGCAGTTCAGAGGCTTTGCTTTGTGCTACCTAGCTCAGTCAAGGACCTCCTTGGCACATGGCACATGCTGCACATGCTGGCACAAGCTGGCACTGGCACATGCATACTTGATCGCCAGCTTGTACCTGGCAGAAACTCTCAGGCATGCGATACATCGCAGTGTGCCATGAGGGAACAACATGTCGCTTACGATACATCGCTTGCAATGCTATCGGAAGGAGCTTTGCCGTGGCTTCCAGCCTCTTCTTCGCACTAGCGCGGATGCTGCACAGGTGCGGGTTAGGCTAGTGGGTCGTGCAAACACTGCATGCTCCAAAGCTCGGCCCAGATGGTCCACGATATCTTCGTCTGGGATCACGATGCAAGTCCAGCTGTGGCTGCCGTACTGCTGCTTTCTTCCCTAGTTTGCGAGGTTTGGGGCGTGTTCTGATCGGAGGCTTTTGCACCGATTGACATCTAGCTTGCAGGTGCTTCGCTTTGACATTCTTCTTATGGTGTGGCTTGGCTTCATGGAGCTCGCTCAGACAGTATTCTTCAAAGAAAGTGCAGCAGAGCAAGCTAGTGCGTTGTCATCATTCGGCCATAGCAGATGCAACGGGTTGTCGTTGTTTACTTGAGTTGATTGGTTCAGATTGCAAGACTTTGCCTGCAACACAATATATTGCCAGTGGCGGAAGTGGCAAACAAATGAATTGCAAAATGTGCAAGTATGGCGGCACGCCGCTGGAGCAAAAAACATGTCAGTTGCTAAGTCAGCTGGCTGAAACACTTGCTGTCTAGTTAGCTAGATTACTAGTTGCTTCAGCTAGTTGGCAGCTTCGGTAGCTAGCAAGCTAGGTTGCCAGCTAGCAAGTTAGCGGGTGCCAGTTAGCCAGTAAGTCGGCTAATGAGCAAGGCAGTTAGCCAGTCAGGTGCTTGTGTAGTTAGTACGCTGGCAGTTGGTCAGTAAGATTAGTTTGTGATTGGGAGGTAGCTAGTTTGACAACATATTAAAATACGAGCACATGCGCACACACCCAAACACAAACAGACACACAGACACACAGACACACAGAGACACAGACACGAAGACACGCAGACACGCAGACACGCAGACACGCAGACACGCAGACACGCAGACACGCAGACACACAGACACACAGACACACAGACACACAGACACGAAGACACGCAGACACGCAGACACACAGACACACAGACACACAGACACACAGACACACAGACACACAGACACACAGACACACAGACACACAGACACAGACACGACACACAGACAGACACGCAGACACACACGCAGACACGCAGACACGCAGACACGCAGACACGCAGACACACCAGACACGCAGACACGCAGACACGCAGACACACACACACGCACACACGCAGACACGCAGACACACACAGACACGCAGACACGCAGACACACACAGACACACAGACACACAGACACACAGACACACAGACACACACCCACGCACACAGACACACACAGACACACACAGACACACAGACACACACAGACACACACAGACACACACAGACACACATACACAGACACACACAGACACACACAGACACACACAGACACACACAGACACACACAGACACACACAGACACACACAGACACACACACAGACACACACAGACACACACAGACACACACAGACACACACAGACACACACAGACACACACAGACACACACAGACACACACAGACACACACAGACACACACAGACACACACAGACACACACACAGACACACACACACACAGACACACACAGACACACACAGACACACACAGACACACACAGACACACACAGACACACACAGACACACACAGACACACACAGACACACACAGACACACACAGACACACAGACACACAGACACACAGACACACAGACACACAGACACACAGACACACAGACACACAGACACACAGACACACAGACACACAGACACACA